CTTTCCCCTTCCCAGTGTCTCACCTCCTGCACAGCTCAAGGTCACTGCAGAGAGAAGCAGAGTGACAGGATGAGGGACAAATTCAGTCAAATATGAAGGTAATTTCCTGCCCTGGCACCTGCTGCCCCTCTCTTGGCTTTGAGAATGAGGAGACACTGATAAGATCAAGGCTAAGGTCATGTTTATCAGCTTGTTTGTGTTCTTGCCCTGATGCAGAGGTTCCTGTGTGCCTTTCACACGACTTACAGCCCAATCCTGTTTATTGCTGTGGTTTATTGCTGTGTTGGGAAGGGCTGGTTGCTGAACATCCCTTCAAGAGCATTCCCTGGGCCCTTGCTGTTCCTTCTAATGGAATCACTAGGTTTCAATGAGAGCAAATTTTGGCTGCTCTTGCCTAAACTCTGATTCCTATTTCATTACCTGTGCTTAAAAATAAAGCTCTTTTTGGGCTGTCCTTCCCTGGCACAGCTGCCCAGGGCAGTGGTAGAGTCACCATCCATGGGGGGATTTAACAGCCATGTGAATGTGGCACTTGGGGACATGGTTAGTGGTTAGACTCTTATGATCTTGGCGAGCTTTTCCAGCCTCAATGATTCCATGATTCTTTCTGATCTTAGCAAGATGATATACTTCAAGTGAATTTGGGTTTCATACAACAGAGTTTAAACACTTGGTCCCTCACCCAAACCGGGGCTCAGCTTTGTCCAAGTTCCTCACCTGCAGCTTCAAACAAATTAGCTACAACTAAGATGAAATATTGCTGATTTTGGGTCACCAGAAAGTAGTGTGAATGCCTGACTTGCCTCTCCTACAGTAATTGAGCTCAGTTTGACTCTCTCAACCCTAAGTGCAAAAGCTTCTCATACCTGTTTGGCTCTTTAAGCCCTTGTGGTCCCCCAGGGGCCATCAGGTTGTTGCTGCTGCAGAGGGGAACTGGTTTAGTCAGAGAGAGAAAATCAACAGTTTCATCATCCCAGCAGTGTTTGAGTCTCAGTCTTGCTGTGTCTCACAGCTGTTCTGATGGGAACTGAGTTTCATTTCCTGCTCAGCCCCGTGCTGGGCGCTGGGCTCTGGTTTCTCTGCACCCTGTTTGCGGTAACTCAGCACAGCTACCCGGACTGGGGAGAGGAGCTTGAAACCACATGTGTTCTCAGAGCACTGACAAACATATTTCTCTAGTCAGCTCTCTGTACATAACACCTAGAGAGCATTTGTCTTGGTCAAGGGGAAGAGCACAGGGGATTCAGGCTCAAGCTCTTGAAGGATGGAAGGAAAAGCCCAAATATCCTGATTTTAGGAAACTGCATTCACCTGAATAAACACTTCAGTGTTGGAACTTGCTAGTCAAGGAATCTCCTCAGTTCAGTGTCCTGGAGAGATGACATCTTTGTGTTATTGCTTACACTTAGGGCACAGAGTAAATGGAGTTCATTGGAGGAGCCAAGGTCTGCTGTGAGAGCTTGTGGAGTTTAAGTCTGAACTGTGTTGTTCTACACCACCAAATTTGGGGATGTGTGCCCTGAGCTTCAGAGAGCTCTACGTGCAGTGCAGGCAATTCCACTGAACTGCTTTATTTTATTAATAGAGACCTTTATTTGTTTAGCTGGGGAGGAGAAGTTCCTCAGAAATCTCTGTTCCCGCCTCTGTGGGACTTTGGGCAAGAGCGTGTGGTGATGGAACACGGGGAATGGCTTCCCACTGCCAGAAGGCAGGGATAGACGGGATATTGGGAAGGAATTCTTCCCTGGGAGGATGCTGAGGCACTGCCACAGGTTGCCCAGAGCAGCTGTGGCTGCTCCATCCCTGGAAGTGTTGAAGGCCAGGTTGGATGGAGCTTGGAGCAACCTGGGCTAGTGGAAGGTGTCCCTGCCCATGGCAGGGGATGGAGCTGGATGAAGTTTAAGGTCTTCCAACCCAAACCATCCCATGATTCTATGCCTCTGGAGAAGTGATTTTAATCTCTGTGAATCCCTCCTTTCTGGGGGCAGATGGGGATTGTCATTTCCTACCTCGGAAGATGAGGCAAAATTTTGTGGTGTTTGAAGGGAAGTTTAACAAATATTTCTGCAGAAAAAGGCAGCTTTGTTTTCCCTGCTGGTTTCACGCTGTGCTGAAGGCAGTTGGTGCTTGGGTGATGCACAGAGGCAGTGGGAGGAACACTCAGCCCCACCAAGGTATTTGAATACATTTCCTGCTTTTCCAAATGTCTGACAAACTGCAGCCTTCACACTCTGTCAGACTGATATTTCCACTCAGACACTCCAAAGTCCAGGAGGAACACCACTAGAGATCTCTGTAATCATGTCAGCTACAAGCTTAGGATCCCAGACTGGTTTGGGTTGGAAGGACCTGAAAGCTCATCCAGTTCCACCCACTGCCATGGACAGGGACACCTTCCACTAGCCCAGGTTGCTCCAAGCCCCATCCAACCTGGCCTGGAACACTCCCAGGGATGGAGCAGCCACAGCTTCTCTGGACAACCTGTACTAGTGCCTCAGCACCCTCACAGGGAAGAATTCCTTCCCAATATATCATCTAACTCTGCCATTAAAGTAATCTGCGGAAGGAAAGTGTGTAGAGCAATGGATCCCATTCATGGATGGACCCTGTTCATGGAGCTCTTCTCTGGGTAATGCTGCAGAGGAAGTGTATGGAGGGCTCTGTCTCACCCCAACATGCAGAACAGGAGTTTAATTGCTGGGTTAGTGTGTGTTTGCTGTGCCATTGTCATTGTCACAGTCCCTGAGCATCTCCTGATGGTGTCACCTGCTCCAGAGCCTTCTGTGTTCCCTTGTGCTCCCCTCAGGGCACATAACAAGGTGATTTTGTGCCTTGCTGGTTTGCTGTTGGTCTTTCCCTCTCCTAATACCTATGTTATCCACTATCTGGAGGAGATCCTTCACTTCAGATATGCACCAGAGGTAGCAAATCATTACGTCACGTGAAGATAAAATGACTTGATGTTAAACATTATCAGAGGTGACCTTGAGTGTGTCACATTCATACTGTTCCTGAAGCCTAAACTTGGGAGGTTTTCACCTCTCGTTAGGCCTGGGGCAGCTGTAAGGTGTAGCTGTCACCTTTGCTTTCCTCCCTGGTGCTCAGAGCCCGAGCCAGGGCTGTGCTCACACAGTCTCTGTAATCACAGTTGAGTTTTTGGGTGGCTTTGCATTATGTAAGCTGCTAATAAGCTTTTTAATACAGGGAGGAGGGGCTCTAGGCAAAGGCTATTATTAACCAGCGCGGCAAAACCTATTCTAGGCTTTCAGAGCTTAAATTCCAGGGAATGGCATCAGCTGAAAGAGTTATCAGTGGGTTGTCTATTGCAGAGTATTAAAGAATTTAAATGAGCACTGGAGCAATGGATGTTATGTGAATCAGGGGGTTCTGAGAAGGACTTTCTTATTCACAGTGTTATAATTAGGGAAATAAATGAGGTTTTGGGCACACATTGTGTTTTCAGCTGCAGTCACTGAAATAAATGCATTGATCTGAAATTTCCAGCTGTATAAAGCAATGCAGAGCAATTCCAAATAATTTATTGATAGGTGGGAAATACATATTGATCAGATATTAGGAAGGAATTCTTCCCTGTGAGGGTGGTGAGACACTGGCACAGGTTGCTCAGAGAAGCTGTGTCTGTCCCATCCCTGGGAGTGTTCCAGGCCAGGTTGTGTCATTGGACTTGAAAAGAGATGAAGTGAGGATGAGACTCAGATTGTGAGGTTTTGTACTAAGCAGTGTGTTTTAGGGTATCTGTTTCATACACCACACAGCATAGGTCTTGATTCAGCACTTGGATTTGTAGGTGCAATGTAACCCCAAAACAGTGAGTCCAACTCTTCACTCCAAAAGGATAATACAAATAATATCAATTGCTAAATGTGCTTTTCTCAAAAATGACTGCTCCACTATGCACTGAAAAGCACAATTCACAGAGTCATGGAATCATTAAGGTTTGAAAAGACCTTTAAGATCATCAAGTCCAACCCAGCATCACCACCATGCTCACCACTAACCCATGTCCTCCAGGTTTTGATAAAGAAAGCAAATGTCCCTAAAGCAGCACTAAAAACATAATGAATGAATCCACTCCAAAAATCACACTGCAATCCTGTGAGTAATAACCCATGTGGTGATTTTGGAGGATGAGCTCCTCATGGTTTCACACACTTTCATATGAAGCAGATTGCAGCTTGGTATGGAACCAGCTGACCCCACACTGGGACCTGTGGTGATCCCTAGTGCTGTTTTCACACCAAGAAGGGTGTTTTGAAGCCCTGTGTAATTTGAGTCCCTGTGTAAGGGCCGTTTATTTTGCTCAGCTGTGGTTCCCCTCCTGAGCAGCTCAGCCTTAGTGTGGGATCTGTTTCCCTGTGCTGTGTGGGTGCCTGAGCTCCTGCTGCAGCAGGCTGAGGACTGTCAGCTTTAATTAGGGAGTTATACTGCTGGAGAATGTCAGCTTTAATTAGGGTATCAGGCCCTGGTGGTGGGATGCAGCTTGGGTGGGCAGACATGGGTTATTGGAATGCTCCTCCTCTGCAGAGTCACTGGTTCCTCCTGTGCTCCTGCTCTAACCTGGGGATATGGGTGTTTAACCAAGGAAGGAACACACTGTACACAGGGGAGAGTCACATTAGATGTTAGGAGAAATGTTTTCCCTGTTAGGGTGTTCAGGCACTGGAATATTGCCCAGGGAGGTGGTGGAGTCACCATCCCTGGAGGTGTTTAAGACATGTATGGATCTGGTGCTGGAGGATATGGTTTAGGTTTTAGAGGTTACAGCACTGACAGGTTAAGGGTTAGACTTGATGATTTTAGAGGTATACTCTAACCTTGATGATTCTATGACTTTCTGTGGAGTAGAGGACAAAACACAGAGTTTTTTGACAAATTTTACCTCAGACAGCTGCTGGGTTTGGGCTTTGGTTTTGAGTGCTGAAAACTCTGTGTTTAATGGAGCACTAAAGGTGAGAATTGTGATTTTCCCTCCCTCCTAGGGGCCAGGAGCTCTGGGTGGATCTGAACGCTATGAAACTGTGCGAAACTGCTGAGTTTGACCAAATGCGACGTCTGTCCACACCCTCCTGCCCCAGCTCCAGCTCCAGCTCCTACACCGTCTGGAAGTACTTCTGCAGGGACCACTTTGGCTGGAGAGAGTATTCTGAGGTATTTCACCCCTCCCTGAGTGCTGCTTTTGGCCTGTGACCCAAAACTCCCCATACAGCATATCTCATAAATACACACTCTCAGTCTGGTTCCTCTCAGAGTGTTCAGGGCAATAACTCGGAGTCATTGGTCAGGAAGACAGTCAAGAAGGTCAGTGTGGAACTGAGGAAGCAATAAAGGGAGAACTGTGCTCTGGGGTTATGATTCTGTTATGATTCCATGAGTGCACCTTGGATTGTCCCTGAGACACAGAGACTGAGCAGGTAGTCACACCTGAGAGCAAACCACTCTGTCAGTACCAACAAAGCCCTTTCTAACCCCAGAAATCTGGGTTTAAGCATGGGGACAAGCTCTTTGCAGCCTTTTTTCACACCACTGCCATTTACCTGTGCAGTTTGTAATGCATTTCCCTGTCCCCAAAGCTATGGCAAGGCAGGACATGCTCCTCCACAGTCCCTGAGTGCAGCCCTTGGCCTGGCCAGGACTCTACATCACATTCTGAATGAAACCTCCTCAGTGTTGGCAGGAGCAGAAACACCTCCTCAAAACAAGAGTGAGAACAAGAACTGGAGAGAGCTGAGCAGAAAGCACCACAAACAACAACAGGTTTAGGGTGTTTGAGCTGTGAGGAGAAAGTTTTCAGGGGCTTGTGCATCGGAGCATGGGAGAGAAGAGAGGGAGCAGAGAGGGATCCTTTGAGGTCAGAGGGGTTCTGTGAGGTTATAGAGGACCCTCTGAGGTTACAGAGGGATCCTTTGAGGTCTATGGCAAAAAATACTCCTTTTTGAACATGGTAACTCATTGTGTGTATGTTTTTCTTGTCTTCTTTCCCCTGAGACAGCCAGTTGTGAGGCTGATTGAGGAGGCCAGCTGCAGGGGGATGAAGGAGGTCAGGTTTGTCACCTGGCACAACCAGTACATCCTCAACATCAAGGATGGCTTCCAGCAGAACTCCTGCTTCAGGAGGGAGATCAAGAGGAGACCTCTCCTGCGCTCCTGTGTCGTGCTGATGCCCTTCTTACAGTAGGTATCCCAGGGAAATGGGGACTTCCCTCAGCTGTCCGGGTTGGTGTGTCAGTGAGAAGTGATTTATTCAGGTGCAACATGGAAACAGGCATGGTTGGGTGAAGAAATCAGAAGCAATGATAAAAAATGTGGGTCCTATTGGAAGCTCTTGCCACTTTTCAGGATATATGTGACCTGAGGAACTCCTCACTGCTGTGCTCTGCTTTGTATATGTATCTAGTGCACCTGGTGTGTTTCACAACAGCATCAGCACAGGTGTCCTTCAGGTTTGCCAAACTACTGTCTAGTTTCAGCATCCTGCTCCAGTGGAAGGTGTCCCTGCCCATGGCAGGGGTGGGACTGGATAGGCTTTAAGGTCCTTCCAGCCCAAACCAGCCTGTGATTCTGTTGTTGATCACAGCCTCTCTATATGGTTGGTCTCAGCCTCAAAGCATGTGAATGTTAGGAACATTTTTAGAGATGGTTTTACAGGAAGGAACCCCAAAATTAGTAAAGAAAAACTGGAGGATGCAGGTGGAAAACCAAGGGTGGACTTGCTAGTTAGAGCAATCCGGGTTCTTATCTCCCCATCCCTGGAAGTGTTCCAGGCCAAGTTGGACAGGGCTTGGAACAACCTGGGCTAGTGGGAGGTGTCCCTGCCCATGGCAGGGAGTGGGATGAGATGATGGGGATAAATTGCAAGAGGGAAATCTAGATTAGATATCAGGAAGAAATTTTTCCTGTGAGTGTGGTGAGACACTGGCACAGGTTGCCCAGGGAGGCTGTGGCTGCCCCAGCCCTGGCAGTGTTCAGAGCCAGATTGGCTAAAGCCTTGAGCAACCTGTTCTGGTGGGTGGTGTCCCTACCCAGGGCAGGGGGGTGGGACTGGGTGATCTCTGAGCTCCATTCCAGCCCCTTAACTGTGAAATACTAACATACTGCTACTACTGTCTTAATGGGAAACTAGGATTTCAGCTATTTTCCTGGTGTTTTGCTACCTGTGACTATTTTTAGCACAGTGATAGGCTAAAATTGTGCAATTCCTACTAATGTTGTTGGACCTTGAGGGCTTTACACTCCCAAGGGCTTGACCAGAACTATCTGTGCCAGATAGTCTACAAACTAAGCTCTTGAGATTCCTGTTCTGCACCAACTCTCACCCTGATTTTCTTTATCTCAAACCCTTGTAATGTTCACTTAAAAATTGCCAATTCTTAGCAAGAACAAGAGGATTTTAAATATTTATGGACTCTGAAGGAGTCAGTGTTGCCTCCACCTCCTACACAGTGCTGCCTGAGACCTGTTCTTTCCCTCCCACCTGCTTCTAAAACTGGGAAGGAATCCTTGAATAGAAACTGTGGGTGACAGTGGATGACAAATGTTGACTTTCTAATGGCTTCCCCTGCGGTAAAAAGTGCTCACAAATAATCCAGGCACACCCAATGATTGCAGGATTTTTATGGGGTTTGATGTCTTCCTCATTAATCCATGATTTATTGGTCATCTCTGCATGGTCTTCCAGTCCTGTGTGAGTGACTCAGCCCTACAATTATATTTTATTACTCTTTTACCCATCCAAGAGGAAAAACAAATTAAACATAAATGCAGACTGTAATATTTAATTGCTATTTTAATAATAATCCTTAATAAAATCCCTCTTGTGGCTTTCTGCTCAGCTGTTAATAACCAGTGAGAGGAACTTTGAATTGAGTCAAATCCATGCAAATAAAGGGAAGTTTAGGGTTGGCCGTGAGCAGCAGTTGACAGCCACGAGGACACCTCAGAGAGTGTTTCTGCCCTGCAAATTGTGAGGGCTGTCACAGCTTTCCACCTCTCTGATCCTGATCAAATGTGGTATTTTGCCCCAAAAAAACCCTCATTTTCTTGAGTTAAAAAGCTCAGCCTGCAGTGAGAAAAACTATTTCTTGGGTCACCCAGTTCTTGCAGGCTCTTGTTTCACTGACAGCAGATACTTCAATCATCAGCTCAGCTTTGTGGCCTCCTCTGGACTTGCTCCAGCAGTTCCATGTCCTTCTTATGTCGGGGACACCATGTATTCTTGCAGCTGAGAGGGCACCTGAGCCTCAGAGCTGTGAGCTGCAGGTGTGTAAGGCAGAGCCTGAGTGTGCAGGTATGGCACATCCCAAGGGCTTCCCCTGACATAGGTGGGAGAATCCAGGATTACTCAGCTGAGGAAGGGTTGCTCCTTCAGGAATGATTACATGGGCATAAGCCACAAATGCCACCCTTGTATATAAGCTTAGCAGTTTCAAGAGAGTGAAGATTGCACAGAAGTGCAGGTGGTTATTGAGAACAGTCTTGCTGGTGTCCTTCATTAGATTTTCCAAGTGGTTTCGCTTGGCATCTGTGGTACCTCTTGACCACAGCAACCTCCCTCAGCCCTGCCTGCTCTCCAGGCAGCATTCCCAGAGGAGGGGCAGGAAAATCACCAACTGCAAATGCAAATCTACATCTGGGCTGTGCAAATGACCGTAAGAGTCTTCCTGGGTTGGAAGGACCTTAAATACCATTCAGGCCCACCTGTCATGGGCAGGGTCACCTTCCACTAGCCCAGGTTGCTCCAAGCCCCATCCAGCCTGGCCTGGAACACTTCCATCTTGATCAGTGGCTTTTAAGACATGTTTGGGATGAAATAACTGTTGTTAGAAAGTCTTCTGTGAGTGTTTAACCACCTCCTCTCCTTCCCTCAGGACCCTGGGTGGCAGCTCCCCCGTGCCCTCCCCTTGCTCTGCCGCTGCCTCTGCACACACCTTGTCTCCAGCTGCTCTCACTTCCCCTAACCTCTATCCTGAAACCTGGATTTGTATGGATCCATCTCAGGACTTCATCCAAGTGCCTGTTCTGAAGGAAGACAAAAGCTACAGAACCATTTATAACCTGTTCCACAAGACTGTGCCAGAAACCAAGTACAGGATCCTGAAGATCCTGCGGGTGCAGAACCAGTTTCTTTGGGAGAAATACAAAAGGTAAGAGAATGAAAATTATGTTATTTGATGATTATATTTGTAGAAGAGGAATTTTATAGGAGAGATTGGTAGCTCCTCTCCCAGCGATGCTGTTCCAGGGTGGGTCCTACAGGGGAGATGAAGAGGGACTTTTGTCCTTCTTCTTGTCCTTCTTAAGAAGGACATGAAACTTCTGGAGCAAGTCCACAGGAGGCCACGAAGTTGAGAATAGGATTGGAGCATCTTTTCTACAAGAGAGTTGGGACTGTTCAGCCTGGAGAAGAGAAGGTTGTGTGGAGACCTCAGAGCAACCTGCCAGGAGCTGAAGGGGCTGCAGGGAAGCTGCAGAGGGACTCTTGGTTAGGAACTACAGGGACAGGAGAAGGAGCAATGGGGATAAATTGAAAGGGGAATTTTAAGTTAGATCTTAGGCAGAAGTTTTCCCTGTGAGGGTAGTGAGGCACTGGCACAGGTTGCCCAGGGAGGCTGTGGCTGCCCCAACCCTGGCAGTGTTCAGAGCCAGGTTGGCTAAAGCCTTGAGCAACCTGTTCTGGTGGGAGGTATCCCTGCCCAGGGCAGGGGGTTGAGACTGGATGATCTCTAAGGTCCATCCCCAACCCCTTAGCATACTCTATGACACTGAGGCTGTCAGAGCTGTTGTGGCCAACCTGCAGTGAACACTCACCCTCCCCTTCCATGTCCTGTTGCAGGAAAAAGGAATACATGTCGAAAAAGATGTCAGGGCTGGCCAGGCTGATGAACGAGCGGCACCTGTTCCACGGCACGTCGCAGGATGTGGTGGATGGGATCTGCAAGCACAACTTTGACCCGCGCGTGTGCGGCAAACACGCCACCATGTTCGGCCAGGGCAGCTACTTCGCCAGGAAGGCCAGTTACTCCCACAACTTCTCCAAACGCTCCCCCAAGGGCCTTCACTTCATGTTCCTGGCCAAGGTGCTGACAGGGAGGTACACAGTGGGCAACCACACCATGAGGAGGCCTCCTCCCGTGGACCCCAGCAGCATCACCAGTGACCTCTACGACTCCTGCGTGGACAATTACTTCGAGCCTCAGATTTTTGTCATCTTTAATGATGATCAGAGCTACCCTTATTTTATTATCCAGTATGAAGAGGTCAGCAGCACTGTTTCCATCTGAAACTTGTGCTGCTGGACTGTTCCCTCCAGTAAACTCTCACCTGGCATCAGTTTGTTTGGGAAATAAAAGATTTGGACCTTTCCTAAGTGATGAAACGACTTTGAGGGAACAAAACCTCGGAGTCTAGGAAAGGAGAGCTGAAGTGACCAACTGTGCACTTGCTGGTTGATTCCCTAGGTGCAAATTGTACATATTTTTCCATTGTTTATAGTTGAAAACCTGTGCCTTTTGTTATAAAACACTGTTTATTTATGTTAGTAAATATTCATGTTTAAAAAGGTGTGTGTGGGTGTAGTTTCAGTTGTGTTCTGTGGGTGTTGCGCCCTGAGCTCCAAATTCAAGGAGGGCCCTTTCTAGGGGATCAGAATCACATCATTTTCATCCCAAGGAGGTTAAATAGGAGATTCTCCCAATCACTATTTCTCATTATTATATTTCAGAGACATTGGGAGAGATCATAAAACTTAACATCTTGCTCATACTTGAGATTATTAAGGAGGATAACACACACAGAAGAGCTGCAGAGGGACTTTGGACAAGGGCTTGGAGGGACAGGACAAGGGTAGAAGGCTTTCCACTCCCAGAGGGCAGGGATAGGTGGGATATTGGGAAGAAATTGTTCCCTGTGGGGGTGCTGAGGCACTGGCACAGGTTGTCCAGAGCAGTTGTGGCTGTCCCATCCCTGGGAGTGTTCCAGGCCAGGTTGGATGAGGATTGAGGCAACCTGGGCTGATGGAAGGTGTCCCTGCATGTGGCAGGGGCTGGCACTGCATGAGCTTTGAGGTCCTTCCAACCCAAACCAGTCTGGGATTCTGTGATTATTGCTCACCTCAAGCAGTCTAGGCTGGCCATACCTAAGCTGGGCTGTCCTCATTAGGACCTCTACAAAGGGTTATTTGTCCCTTGACAAATGCTACTGCACCTGCTGTACTAGTGCAGGTGTGGCTGAGGAACGCTCAGGATGTTCAGCAGCCCCAGGAGCAGGTCTGGTGGCTCCTTGGGTGGGATGGGACCTTTAGACTTGGTGATTTGTGTCCCTAACTCAGCAAACCTGAAGCTGAACCTGGAGCTGCACTTTGGGACAACCTGCTCTGTATCCACTTTCTGGGGCCCAATAAAAGTGTGTTTGCCATGGGAGAGAATTCCAGATTTCCACCAGCACTCCTGCTGGTTCCTGTCCTGCTGGATTACTCCTTGCTACCTACAGATCAGATCAGCTGTAGGTGAGGAGGGGCAGATCCAAGCAGCTGGTTCCAGTTAACCCCAGTCTCCTCTGAGGCTCTTGGGAGAGCTCAGATTGGAGGAGGTTTGGCTTGGAGGAGGACACATTGGCACAGTGGGATGGAAGCTTCCAACTGGGATGTGCACCACAGAGGAGCTGCTCCTGGCCACAGCTCACCTTCAAGGGGATGACTGGAAAGGTAAGGGGGGCTGTGGAGGAGGGGGTGGATGATGAAGTCAAGTCACCAGCAGCTCTGTGGAGTTCTTCACATTCTTGGTGCTGCTGCTGCCCGCCTTGAGGGTGCTTGTCACTGTTCTTGACGCTGGCAGGAGCATGGGGCAGTGTCCTGGGGGTCAGTGGACTGGAGGTTGCTCTGGCAGCATGAGCTGGTTGTCCAAGGTGGTGATGTTACCCTCACAGCTTTATCTATGTGTGTATTTTAGAGGTGTCTCTGTCCTGGAATCTGCTATTAGTTCAGAATGGAGATTTAGGATGTACTAAAGAGAAAGACTTTGAGTAAGGATTTATGAGTTTATGGCTTTTATGTGTTGAGCAGTTCCCCCACTCAAGTCTTGTGGCCAGTTTGGGACTGGGACAAACAGGATGGGAGTGGGAGGTGGGACAGCTGCTGAGAGCTGGGAATGTGTCTTCCCTCCCACTTCCTATCACTAGGGAAGTCAGTTGTGCTTTTCCCTTGGATGTTGTACTGAGGTTTTGGTTCTCTGGGTCCTTCTCCACACAGCTGGTGGGTGGGGTGCTCCACAGCCATGTGTCTGCTGCCCACCAGTGCTCCTGGACTGGTCTGCCTGAACCTTCCCCTTTCCAGCCTGCCCTGGGGCTATGGGGCTGGGGATAATGGGCTCTGTGACACATCACTGGCAATGTATTGAAAATATTTATGGGGTTTCCATACCAACCTGCTCCATGGGTATGAACCAGCCCACAAAGGCTTATGAAATCAGCAACTCCTCAGCATGTGGTGTGTTGTGCCTTGGTCTTGGGCATGGGCTTCATGTCCCCTTTTGTGCCCATGTTAGCCTGTCCCTGTGGCTTGTGCTGCTGCTAGTGTTGGGATTGCAGCTGGTCATGGGGAACACATAGTCACAGGGATACACAACTGGAATTCAGCACAGCTGGGCCACAGCTGTGTCACTGTGTGCTGCCAATGCCTGGCAAGCACTGATCACACTCCAATGTCCATCCACAGCACTCTGGGGCTCATGCAGGATCACTCCTGCCTCTCACCTCCCCAGGCAGGACTGCTGGAGCCACATGGGTGTTGGGGCAGAGCCTGGCAGGGACAGAGTGTGCCCCTAATCACCCCCGTGGCTGCTAATTGCCTCCTGTGTGCGTTAGTGCAGCTCTGTCCGTGGCACTGCTCAAGGTGCACCTCAGCAGAGCACTGAGAAACTCTGTTCCTAATCCTGCTCCTAAATGGAACATCTAGAGAGAACAGGCCTGATCCCAAGGGGATTTTCCTGTTGCTTGGTGGGGCTACTCCCCTTCTCCCTCTGTTTATGCCCATTAAAACCACAGCGACCTCCTCCCAGTGGGGCTGTGGAGACGACTATCTCCAGGTTTCCTACTCCTCATGTTTCTTCTTGCTGTGTGTTCTTGACCTTGGCTTTACCTGTACCCACACCTGAGGTTTCTGGGGCAGGGGTTGTCCCTGTGACCCCAGGGCTGGGGGTTTGTCATGGAATGCATAAGTCCTATTGTCTGTCACCTTACCCTGGTTTTGGTGGTGTCACTGGTGAAGAATTCGACGATGAAACCAGGTGACAAAGCAGCACTTGTGATAAGGATCTCGCTGTGTCATTACCCAGATTGCAGGTGGTGACACACACTTTGGGCAAGGTCATGTGTTGTGAAAAGCCCATCAGGGAACTGGTGGCCAGTGTGGGGGCAGCAGTGGTGCTGATGTGTGGTGAGAGGGACCTGCTGGGCTGGCCAAGCTCTATGTGGCATTTCCGGACCTGTGGGAAGCCACTGTGGGGTGTGATGTGTGTCCTGAGGGGCTCCAATAACTGGTAGCCTGTCAGGTCAGGCGGCAGCACTTTGGGCTCTGCCATGGGTGGCAGTCGAGGGTGAGGTCACCTCTGCCTCTGTCCCTGGTGGTGCCTGGGCACAGCGTGGGTTTGTCATGAAACAGCCTGTTCCTGACAGCAGGATAAAGGCATCTCTGTGGCCAAGGGGAAGGAACAGCTTGAGCATGTGCTGACTGGGGAGCTGGGCAGAAGGACAGGAGCTGCTCCTGGAGGAGAGGTTTCAGTGCCAGCTGCCTGAGAGGTCACGTGGGAACAGCCACACCATCCACCCTTCCCATGTGTGTACAAACACCTTACCAGAACAACGACCCTCCTTGCAGGACCTAAGCCTGGTTGGACTGTGGCACACCCTGGCAGGGACCCCAGCTATGTGTCTGCTTTGCCCTGTGTCTTGTACAACTGATGTTTGGGGCTACCAAGCTTCTGGATTTCTTCCAGGAAGAATAATCTTGGAGCAGAAGTTGCTCCCCATCCTCTCCTTCCAGGTGCTTGAGGGCTGCTGGGCAGAGCTCACACCTCTGGGACAGCTCTGTGGGAGGTGTTTGGGGAAGCAGCTTGAAGAAAGGTGGAGGCAGTGGGTGATGGTGATGGGAAGGTTCCTTATGAGGTGTCCTGCAAGTGGGAAGGAACCTTGGGAGGTGTTTAAACCAACCTCCTGTTCAATGCAGGGTCAGCTCTGAGGTCAGATCAGGTAGTCCAGGGCTGCATCAAGCCTGTGCAGGAAAACCTGTGATGATGGAAGATGCCCAGCTGCTGGGCAACCTGCTCCACCTGCAGTGTCCTCACTGAAGGGTAAAACCCCCTTCAATCCAGGATTGTGCTGCCCTGTGATGATGTGTCCCAGCTCCTGCTGTCCACAGGCTGAAATCAGTGTACACAATTTCTAGACTTGGAGCAGAGGGTGTAGAAGTGCTGGTGGTGATAAGTGAGCCCATAAATTGATGTAGTGAGATGTTTCTGGCAGGAGGATGCAAGAGCCTGTGCTGGGTGGCTCTCCCAGGGACTTACAGAGGAGTTCTTCAGCTCTCCCATAACTCCTTAAAGCCTTGTTTTTCTCAGCCCTGGGAAAAAACCCTCTTTCCTATCAACTCTGCTGGGAGAGGCAGAGTGAGATGAGGCCAGAGGAACACTTTGCCCTCAGTGTCACAGCAGGGTGGGTATGGGCAGGCCTAGAATTCCGTCCTGGAGGAGAATTCAGCACTGCTGGGGCTTTGTGATGGGCTGCTGACACCCAGGCTGAGTCATGAGCTTCAGCACAGCACACCATGAGCCTCTTCCCATCCCAACCCTGCAGTGTGCACTACTTGGGCCTTGAGATCTTTTTGTTTATGTTATTTTATGTGGAAACTTGAAGTCTTGCACAGTAGTGAGAATTGGGTGACAGACCAGGGAGCATCTCTGGCTGCCCCTGGGCTCCCTCCAGCCCCACTGTGTCATCACCCTCCTAACATCAACCCAACACATCCTCTCCAGTAATGTTTCTTTGCTCTTAGGGCTCCAAAGTCTGTTTTGATGAGAATATTTTCCCTTAGACCTGACAGCAAATGTCAGGTTGACCTAAGGGTTGTTCTCGCCTCGATTTTCTCCAGGCTCCCTTTTCTCCAACCAGCTGGGTACAAGTTGTTTCCAGTGTAATTAGGCTGTTATAAATCATCCTCTGCCTTTCTCTCCTTCCACCAGGAACACATTCCCATGCCTTGATCCACACTTGGGTTTGTTGTGTCTGTCAG